TTAGTGTTACTCTTTGATAAATTATTTAATAGTTAACAAGTCACCAAAATATTTCCAACGACACGAGAGCCATAGTGTGCTTGAATTTTTTTAAAGTCCACGCCTCTTTATATTGAGGTGATATTAATTAAGCATAAATACTCTCACTTTTTTTTCCGTTTCTTTGAACTATGAATTAGAAATGAATTGATAGAATTTTTTTTTACGGTAAAAATAACGACGATTCGTATTAATATTAAATCAATTATACATTACTGTCGAGCTGATAGACAATTATTTAATAGTTCACTATTTATTGTTTTCATTCATTTCTGTCAACTTTTATTTCTTATTTAGAGTCGGTGAAATCCAGAGTCTGCATCTTTGTCTAATTTCGCTGCACAGCCGCTATAAAAACTTCATTTTAAGATACATCAGTTAATAGATGTAAAAAATAAAATATTGTTAATAATACTTGAATATTATTATTAAACTTTTAAGAATAAATGAAAATAAAAAAGAATGCATTCAACAGTTGCTGATGCTAATCACTGAATAGCATCAACTAAATACGGTTAAAAACAGTTTTTTACAACAATTTATACTCGTCAGTAATCAAATAATTATATTAAAAAAAATAATAGGCTGTTACAATTAATGAAATATTGAAAACAATTATTTACCATTAATGTTTATTTAACGTATTTTAAATTATTAGATAATTGTTACGAGGTAAACAATTATGATAAAGCTGATTGAAATTCAATAAAAATAATACTCTCATGTTAAGTAGGATACTACAGCAAAACAAATTAGTTTATATTGTTGATAATAGTTGAATGATGATAACAGAACTAGTTATTGAATAATTTTGAAAATTTCCTAGTTTTCATTACTTACATTTTTTAGTTGGATATTTTAAAAATCATACATATCACTATTAATCAAATGATATCAGAAATAATGACATTCATCAATCCCCAGTTATGAATAGTTTTGTTAATATTATGCTCCTGATATCAACAGTATTAACTAATTTTTTCTGTACTACATTTTACTCAATGTTAAATTATTGCTTTTATCAAATTTCAATTGGTTTTGGTAATCGTCAATAATTGAAAATAATATAAAATGATTGTTTTTAAAAAAAACTTAGTTTTTATTATATTTGGTTTTTCATAATAGTCTATTGCTGCTTTTAATATAATTGTCTCATTATCTTTTATGGATTTAAATAATTTGCTATTGTATTTTCATTGAAAACTTTTCAAGCAGGCACCCACCTACATACTAACTCTAGCAATGTTGTTCGACTTTGAAAATTGCGCGCGTGCTCCTGTATTAAATGTACTTCCTTATATTAACAATTTTCTTTGTATTTCGGTATTTAACTGTTTGACAATTCGTATTAAAGAAAATGGTAATGAATACCGTTGATAATGACTCTCTTCATATAGTCATGAGATTATCATATTAAAAATAAAACAATATACGTATTCGTATACGAGTAGTTCGATATTTTTAAAAGCCATTTCTTATTGTCAATATCTATTTAATATTATTTCAAATGATTATATCTTATTTTTAACCATTTACTACTTTACTTTATATTGTTCTTAATGGAATTAAAATAATAGTGATACAACTATTCGACGAATTTTATTATTTTTTACATTATACACCTCACTATTTATGAAATAATTAGTATTACTATAAATTCAAATATGTAAAAAACAATTAAATCCATACAATTATTCGATAAAAAATTTTATCCATATCAGTTTACTGTTATTGTTCAGTATGAAATTAAACTTCTATATCGCATTCTATCTAACCATTTAGAGTTTTTTTTTCTCAAATTCAAACTAGTTTTAAAAATAAAAATTTTCAGCTCAAAGTAGAGTCACACCAAAAATCTTGCTATGTTAAAAGTTGGGAGCCTCAGTAGAAAATGTTCCTTGAGTTTCAATTGGGGCTGTAAAACTTTACGGCTCCTTATTGTTCATTGTTAACAATACAGTCTCCTTTCTGAAGAATTTGTCCTACCTTAATAATTGTCTGCATGGGCCTCATAAACTCCTCAATTCGTGGGCCCAGCATAGAAGGTGTATGCAATCCCTCTTTTTGAACGCAAAAATTAATTCTTATGTCGATAATTTTTCTGATTTGTCATTAAAATATAAACACTTTTATATCTTATTATTTTGAATTATATACAATGAAAGATTGAATGGTATGGTGGAGCATAATCAGGGGAAGCCACAGAAAAATGGAACATGAAGAAAAATTGTAAGGTATAATAAATTAAGTAATAAGGTTACAAATATTGAAAAATTGTATTTCATGAAAAGATGAAAAAATTGACGATAAAAAGCCACTATAAGCATTTTTAAGCTTACTTCAATAAATTTATGAATTTTTTTCAAGCATTCTTCTCTACCTCGGGGTTCCATTTCATACTATATTTTACTTTATACTTTATTCATATTTTATACTTACTTACTATTTATAAATCAGTGATAAATTCAAATAATTATTCACATAACAAATACTTTTTGTGTTTAAAATGTATACTTCGAACACCAGAAGCACTAGAGCACTGGACGTTCTAAAATTTATGGCAGAGTGAGAGATTTTACCTATAAAAATAATCAAAGTTAACTCATCCACCTCAAAAGAATGTGCTTGCATACACCTCTTATGGTGGATTCATGGATTGTCGGGTAATTATCTATCTGATCGTTTTTAGGCGAAGATCAATTATTCATTCAATATATGAAGGGGAATTCATTCGTCACCAAGTTTTTGGTGATAAACATAATTTTTAAATTTCTAGTAGTAAAATATTCTATATATAGTAGCAAGTAGAACATATGCATAAAATTGAAAACGAACTTTTTTTTTTACACAACGTTATGTTCCCATGCATTTAAGCGAGACGGTGCTTTCAGCAGTATCGTATTGCAGAAGAGAATATGATTATTTAAAATAGCAGCATGTATTTAATATATGACAATTGTTATGACGATGAACACTTAATTGTTAATTGTCATCTACAGCAAGAATAGGCAAACCTGGTTTCTCGAAATCAGAAACATATATTAAGACTATGAGAAAAAATTGTTCATTGCCAAGTGCGCCAATACCTGACCGACAAGACGTTTTTGCCTGCCCGCATAAGCGCACACTGGAAATCTGAGTTAAAATAACAATGGGATACTTTGATGTTGAGTAATAAACCTAGGTCTCAATATTGCATTTCTAACCTAGGTAGAATCGTTCGACTTTTGTGACTGAACGGTTAAGTCCCCTAATAAATTTTCTGCCTTTCAGAACTTATTCATTAATTTTCGGAAAGCGAAAGAAGTGAAAAAAAATGCCTGCGAAGGTAGCAAAACAATACATATCCGAAGTTTATTGGACCCAATAAATAGATATAATTGTCCAATGGATTTTTGGATTTATTTTGGGTATTGCGTGCTCCTTTACTACCCCTAATTTTACTTTTCTATTGTTCACTATAAAAATAGAATATATTCACAAATTTTTCATAAATATTATGAATAAATGGGCAGAAGAAAAGAGTCGCGCGCTAATTTATACGCCTTAATAAAATTACAATGATAAATTTTATGTCCAATGTTGAAGACGTGAACAATACGTGCTCAATCTCTAGAAGTAAATACGAAATGTCATAAAAAAAATTTATAATTCAATTGTTTAGCTCTATTGTACATACAAGAATTTTGCCTAAGTCGCAGATAACAAATTTAGAATCTACTTTGGCGAACTCACATAACGTGCCGTCAACGGAAATAATAATTCGACGATTTTTATACGCCTTGTAATGTAAATTACTTTATCTTCCACAATCTATTTAAAGCAAATATTACAAGATTCATTCTTGTCTGCGTAGATATTAATAATTAAATATTATTGGGAAAGTTAGAAATAAACTTAAAAGTAGCTATGGATAATAACTAATCGTTTTATGTACTGAATAATGTCATCATGATTGACCATAAATATACATAGAAACAGTTGAATACTGTTAAAACGAATTTTTCACTACACTAACACCCAACCACTACAACATAGTCACATCGAAAACAGTTATATATTGTTCTAAACAATCAACATTTTTAGAGGTGATTTTTTACTATTAGCAACTGTAATAGATTTGAATAGAATCTGAAATTAATATTTTAAGCAAGATAGTCAATTCCTTTAATTTTTTGATAAAAGTAACTTCATCAAATAAAAACAGGGCATGTAATTGTTTACAAATACTAATTGTCAAAAATTTGGTTAATGTAGTGTAAAATCTTAGTTACTGGCAGTTACACATATGAAAAAAACTTTTCACTTATACAAATTTCGAAATGGTTATTTTGTTTATCATTTTTTTAGGGCATACATACTGGTAACTAAACTCGGCATTTGATGTCAGCTCACCCAGATATTTATCAAAGATTTCGAAGTGAACAAGAAAAAGAGACAAGTAAAGGAGTGTCAACTATTGAGGGCATAAAAAAATAGAGGCTCAACCATTAAATCGAGTTAATTTATCTAAATCAACTCTTAAAAACGCGATCTTGGAGCTTGTGACTGTTAACGGAAGGCCTTTCTCAATCCTAGAAGACTCAGGGATGCGCAAGATTTTACAACCTATTTTGGAACGATTGCCGCCAGATGAAAAGCTTAATACGTCACCCGAAAGTGTTAAACTTTATATATATGAAGAGTCGGACCGGATCATTAAATTAATTGAACATGAGGTGCAAAACAAAAAATTAATCAGTTTGAAAGTTGATGTAGCTTCACGTCACGGACGCTCTTTTCTTGGCTTAAACATCCAATTTATTCAAAATGGAAAAATATCTATACGAACTTTGGGTGTTGTTGAACTAACAGATAAACATACTAGTGAACATTTGAAGACCGTTATATTAGAAGTTTTTGAAAAATATAGTATCAACATTAAAAATATTTATTCGTTCATCTCGGATAATGCTGCGAATATGCTAAAATTACATACTTTACTGGAAAATTGTCAAAATTTTGAAGCTCTCAAATTATGTGATGACGCAGCAGAGGATAGTGATAACGAAAATGAAGAAGTCTTGAATGAAGATGACATCAACGATGGATCTGATGAAGCGGAAGTCGAAGTAGATAATGACGATCCTGATGACCAGACAGTCCAATCACTGGAAAATATTTTCGCCGATGAAAAAAGCGGCAAAATAGTAAATATCCGGTGTGCTGCTCATACTTTGCAGTTGGCCATTGACGATGGCATAAAAATGAGCAAGATTGATAAATTAATTGCTAAGGCTCGTAAAGCAGTCAAATATTTACGGAAGGATTCGGTCATGAACCAGATGAAAAAACTATTTCCCACTATTTCGAAACCAGTGTTAGATGTAGTAACAAGGTGGCATTCCACGCATGACATGCTAGCTTCCTTGTTAAATTTCAAGGATTTCCCTACAGAGATAAAATATTTAAGTGGAAAAGATTGGGAAAATATCAATATTTACGTGGAAGTTTTAAAATCAGCAAAAATGGCCATAAAAACGTTCCAAAATGAGCAACTTATCATGCCCGAATTTTTTTCTACTTGGCTATTGTGCAAAGAGCAGATTCAAAAAATTGATAACGTATTTGCAAAGAATATTGTTGATTGCATGACGAATAGAGAAAAGAAATTATTACAAAATGAAGCTCTATTAGGAAGTATTTTCTTAGATCCACTGTTGAACTGTTTGTTAGAAGAAGATCAGAAGACTTCAGCTATCAATCATCTAGAAGAAGTGTGGATAAAACTTCAAAAAATAAACTCATCTACAATAGAAGCAGAACGAAAAGATCACTGTATGGACATTGATGAAGATAATTCAAGTGAAAAAATAGGTATGATGCCATCAATATTAATAGAAAAATTACACAAAAAAAAAAAGCAAAAATGGACACTTCAGGAATAGATGTGAAGCCTATACTTCATCGATTTTATAACGATGAAGAGAGAAGTGAAGAAACACGTTTATTAGATTTTTAGGAAAAAAATAAATTCGTTTACCCCAAATTATATCAAATTGCAATAATTGTATTGGCAACACCAGCAACACAAGTCAGTGTCAAAAGATTATTTTCCGGATTAAAATATATATTTTCAGATTTGAGAGGAAAACTGAATACCAACATATTGAATGCAAAGTAAAATTCACTATATTAAAATGTATTGAATTTGGAATATATTAATGTATGAAATTAATAAAATCAATAATAAAAAGGTTCATACATTTTAGTTACAGCAGTTTTTGCAATATTGCTAAATTAATACCCGAGTCGGCATAAAATATTACATTTTTTTTTATCCATTCATCCTTTCGATCCTCCATTCAATCTTTTTATCATGACTTTATTATATTTTCTTCTGAGGTGAATGAAATGAAAATAAAGTCGAAACTAAACCTTACTCCATCCTTCTTGTTTTAATGCTAATTGTTATGTACAACCTGTGCATATGTTTATAGTAATATAAAATAGACCAGATCTTCACAAACAAAACTTTAATCCATGAAGCGGTATATAAAGAAGAATATTCTGAGCGCACTGTTTAGGCATTTTCTGTTGATGAAAAATTTTTTCGATTATAAATCAAATAAGCGCCAATAAAAGCGCATCATTTTCCACGGGTAAAATTATGGTAAGAGGAATCAAAAGAAAATTTATTATGATTTTCAATTGAAAGTTTGAATCAACGAAAATCATTATCTGAAAGAATTTTCCTTAACATCAAAAGTAATTCAAACTTGCGAATTGCAATAAAAAATTGTATTTATTTTTCGTTTTAATCTTTATCATTTGTTTTGCCTGCAAATAATGCTCTCTTATAAGTGAATTTTTTTTTTCTAGAATTTACTTATGGATTGAAGTATTGGCTGTGGTTACCTTTCATATTTTTTTTCTTTTTTTTTTTCTTCTTTATAATTATTATAAATTATATAAGATCTGAAATTCAAATAGAATGACCAATGAGGAAGTGTAATGTTCCGGTCAATATGAAATAAAGATGAAAGTTGAAACAACATAGGAAAAGTATCAATTCGTTCCAAACTGCATCATCAAGAATTTCAATATAATTAATGAAAAAATATTTCAGTATGTTTCGTTATACAAATAAATCGGGTTTGAGAATAAATTTTGGAAATATACTTGAAGTTTACAAGAAAACAATAAAAGTAATGCCAGCTGCAGTCTGGTAGTCAATGTTATGCGCGGAGCTCTACATTTTAGTATTGATTAATATCGATCGATTCGAAACATAAAAACTGTTCACGAATGTTTTTTAAGATATTACTTTAATGAACTTCTCTTGAGCTCGGAGAGCATTTCTAAAATTTCTTATTGAATATTGATTACCTCAAATAAAAGTATAATTTCTTTTTGTGGAAAATAATTTTGAAATGTCTTTTTGTAATCATCGAATGAACTGTACATCATTTATAACCATAAATTGAACATCTTGAACATCAAGTTAAATAAACTTGACTTGTCATCGAATTTATTAACTGAGAAAAAAAATGTTCTCTCATTTAATTCGAACACATCTAATAAATTCTAATTTATAATCAAAGTTGTGAAATGAATAAGAAAAATTTAGATAGGCTTAATGTAAGATAGAAAAGATGAACAAAATGTAAAAAAAAATACGAAGAATAGACAATGAACGTTTGTAAAATGAATTTTATATTTTTCCAGTTGATCACACCTTGTTTTAAAGGATAAAAATTACTTCAGTACATTTTAATTTTTGGTTCTTTATAATTTTAACAATTTGTCCATTTACTGACTCGTGCTCATTTATTGGTTTTGTTACACTATTGCAAGTGAATATTTTTCGGACAAATGAGATAACTTTAATTATTTTTATACGCTGAATTCGAACATGTAGGTAATTTTCTTTTAATGTAGTGCATTTTAAGGTTATAAACAGATTCATTATTCAAACTTATTCGATACGTAAACTATTCGAGATTTTACATAGAAATGTTCATTTTTTAAGATGAACGATTCTCATAATAACTTTTTTTGTTCCATCTTTATTATTTTAGGTTATAAATAAAGAAGATTGTTATATGTGAAATAGAGTTCACATGAAAAAAGGACCCTTTTTTTTAGTGCGCTAGACAGGTATCCTTCGACCACTATACAGGGCCAGGTATAATTTCCCTTTCTACCATACATTTTGAAACGTCCACTGCTCTAGTAGTAGTGCTTTTGGTATTCTGAATATATACATTGTATTCTTCTGACATAGAAATTAATGATTATATGAAAAAATATTTTGATTTATTATTAAATTATAAGTATATTCATATCCTATTATACCATACAATCTCCTATCAAATATAATTTCATCATCTACTTCTTGAAAAAATGTGCTTGCATATAGGATGCTTGCCTACGAATATCAGTATTGTGGGTTCAAAACCCAGTTGATGTTTTTTTATCATTTTTTTTTCTGAAATCAATAACTTATGTTTTAAATTCTACCGATTATTTATTAAAAATAATTATGGAATTTTTATGTATTTCATTATCAACTACCATAAACAACTACCATCGGAACTTCTGGTATCCGTTTATCTGCCTGTTTATTCGCGCTAATCTCCAGAACGGCTAAACTGATAATAATAATAATAATAATTGTACAGGAAGCTACAGCTTGCCGGCAAGCAAGCCGCAGGCGAGTGCGTAAAGTATACTATAACTTGCACTCATCAATTAATTTTTTTTTCTATCAATTCGAAAATAAAAATAAAAAGTAATAATAATAATTGTACATTAATTATTTTTAATAAATATTTGGTAGCATTTAAAACATAAATAATCAATTAAAAAAAAAAAAAAACATCAACTGGGTATTGAACACACGATACTGATATCCGTAGGCAAGCACGCTACCTCTAAGCTACGCCGGCATCACAAGACAATCTTTATAGGTAATATTTAACCTGCGCAAGGGGCTTCGCTTGCTATTGGAAGAGAAGAAGCTTGCCATTGATATAAAGGGGACTTGCTTTAAGAGTAGAGGGGCTCGTTACGAAATGGAAGAGAGAAGAAAAATGCGGCTAGTTAATTAGATTATATAGATAATGACAACAGAAATTCTTTACTATGGCATTCATTATGAATTTAAAGCTATTATTCTATTCTTCCGAGTAATTTTTAATTTTTATCAATTGTTAATATAATTTTTTTATTATTTGATTTTAAAGTTGGGATACTGTTTGTCATTATTTTTATAATTTGACTATCTGTCAAACGTCACGAGTAATCGTGAAAAAAATTTCAATTTTACTATTGATGTATACCGAGCGATTTAATCTTTAAACCACTACGAAATTAGGGATTCAAATCTTCAGTACAAACAAATCTTACCAGGAGTAAAACTGTATTCTACTCCTGACCTTTTAGCTCGTATTGTAGTAGTATCCCAGCAGATTGCTATTGCAATACCTACTGTCCAAACAGTTGAGCAGGTATATGTTTGTATTGGAATCATAACCATATGGAACATGAACTGTTTATGACTAGGATTAAAGAAAAAGCTTAAGGATACTAAAAAGATACCAGCATACTATGGAAAAAACTAGCGGTTCGTTAGGTATACTAGATCTCCGATTATATTTACGTTTACAAGTATTGAATGTTTTTAGGGATTTATATTTTTAATCTTTTCTTGATTTAAACATGTTTTGCTCATGAGCTAAACCTGAGTGATTGAAATCTTAGGATTCGATCGTAACCCCTGGATTTAACACGATGGAGAGTTGACTCAATGTGATAATGAAGCCTTAAAGCACTTTCGTACACTCTATCTGTCATGTACTTGTGCTTGAAAAGCGTCAACCGACATCCTACACCTAATGCCTCATGCTCCCCTACAAAGTATGTCCAGAGGTCGTTCAATTGGGATAGCTTAGCCTCGATCATAGACATTGTGACGAGAGCAGGCTGTCGCACAAGGTCAGCCACATCTTGCTGCATGGATTGAAGCTGCTCATACCTGGACATTTGAGATGTAAGCTTAAACAGCGTGGTGTTCGCAAGGGCAGAAGGTGATTTCGACCTATCACGTGGTGGCCTTTTCGGGCACCTTGAGTGTTGTTTCACTGGTACCTTCTGCCTGAGAGTCGACTGGAACTGGGGATGGCGCTTGGCTTACACTCACTTGCTCTAACATCTTACTAATACCTTCAACTGACTCATTGTCTTCGGCTACATCTACGTAGTCCGATTTTGCAGGAGAAATTAAACGTTTGTCTGCCATAGTTCAGTTGAGTGAGTTGTCTAATGTCACTAGAACGACACTTATCACTAAGAAGCTGCACAAAAACTGTTGCTAGAGTTGTCTACTGTCATCTTGATACTAATGGTGGGCTTTCACTGAAGTCTCAACACCAAAAGAATCACACAAATTAATTAACTGAGTCTACGAGCTCTGAATAATAATTTTAGGTGACTAAACTTACACTAATGACACTACACTAATTAACGAACTATGTTTATATACACGTGAGTTGACTGCGTCAAGGCTATCTTGACTTTGACCAAAATGCGCGCCAAGCGTCTAAAGAGGAGTCCAAGTTGGCCGGACTGAGCACCACTGCACACCAATAATAAAGATGAGTGTCACTGGGCACTGGAATGCGTAAACACCTTTTGTCTGTAAGGTTGTTTACACACTGACACTGAGTCTATCTGAATTCCAAGCAATTTATACAGAGCATTTCACAAAATACTCACAAAATTATTAAGCACTAGAACCTTCTAGAGTTGTTCAATCTGCATCTAAGCCGTTCTTATCCGGTCTGGAAGGACCAAATGTTCTGACTTCGAGTCGGCCGGACGAGCAAACTAAAACTAGTGGACTGTAATAAATAAGAGCAGAATAAAAACAAAGGTTGGATGCTAG